TCCCCTCCCCCCTCCCTCCCTTTCATAATGAGTGTCTGATTTTTGGAAATGCTCTCCATCAGGTTGCATTCTTTTTAATAGCCTACTTGTGTAAGCATATCATTGACTGTGTCTGTCATACTTGCTACATGAAGCTAGTTAGAATTGCTTCTAATATTTAAACTGTGGGAAGTACAATAGTCACATTTTTAATCAGTGGCATTGGTGAAACCTGAATAACACTAGGATTTTTAGAGGTTAAATTATATGACTCTTGAAAGGAACTGATCTTAGGCGAGCCAGTGCTTTATAATGCTTTATTTGAACTCATAAAAGCTAGGAAAAGAATGAATGTCCTCAGAATAACCCCTGATAAAGTTTGTTCAGAGATGTTAGTTATTGGGAAAACATAAGTTTATGGATGGTCATAGGGAAAAAATGGGTTTAAAAATTACTGTTAGCATCCTTTGGTTTGCATATGAAAATACAGAGGTAGCTTACTGTATGTAGTTTATATTGTCCTTATTTCTTGGTTAATGAAGCCCTTAGAAATGATTGTTTACTAGACTGCAGAAGATGAGAAGACAGAGACTACTGATTCCAGGTGCTGGGTGTCTTAGCCTCACCTCCATGGCCTTACTCTTAAGTCTGAAGTTGCTTTGCTCTAGCTTAGGTACTGACATCTTCCATTTCTAGGCCTCCTTTTTGTTTCTTAATTGTGTTATAAAATCTCCAACTGGAATAGACTCAGTCACCACAAGAGGAAAAAGAAAGTGGCTCAAGTAGATGTTCCCACCAAATGTAGGATTTCAAAGTTCAGCATTTTCATCGCATATTTGGTAAAGTTTTAAATTTTAGAATAAAGAATTAAAAGCATGTGAGAAGCTTCTATTTTATCCAAACCATTTGGTACTAAGCAGAATATATTTTAAAACAAATCTATATATATTTTTTGTGAATTTTGTTTTTAACAAATGAGGGCATTTTAGCAAGTTAGAAAATGAAAATATTAAATCACAAATATTGACTACGGACTGCCTACAGCAGTTATGTTTCCTTAAAAAGGTTGAAATTACTAATGGTTTGAAATGTGAAATAAAAAAACTCATCTTGAGAAAAGTCCAGTTGTTTTAGTTCTTTCCATCATTCTCATTTGGGTTTAAAAATTGCTGCTGTTACAGAAAGGGAATTGACCACACAAGAGCTAACCATAAGTGATCCTGAACCCAAGACAAGAAAGAAACCCACAAAGTTAAGTTTCACACATGCTTTTGGATACTTATTCTGTGAACTTAGTAGTTTGAGATTTTCCTAAATATAATGTTTAAAAATTTTTATACTGCTTATTTTTTCTTTCTATTTGGTAAGAACTCATTTTAGTTTTTCTTTTTGTAGATGAAAGCCAAAAAATTCTAATATGTTGCTTATGTTGTCTGATTAACAAAGAACCACAGAATTCTGAAGAATCAAAACTTAACTCCTGGATACAGGTAAGAGAATAAATCTTGCTCTGCACTACTTTGAACTAAATTGACTGCTTAAAGGTGCTACTTAAAAAACATTTTTTCAGTCCAGTTCTATGATGTTTTAGAAACTTTTTCAAACATGTCCTTTATTGTTACATTATCTTGCTGAGTGTAAAGTTTTTCAAGAGATTTCAATTTTGCTTGACTGTGAATTCCAAAAGATATTGGTCCTTAAGGTCAACTTCCCCATGCTTACAAGACCTGATGTTGAGTGATTTTGAAAAGCTTCTTTCAAGTAATTAAAAGAATGTACTGCATTTCCCTCTGCAAATTGCTATCCTTCAAAAAATCATTTCTCCCTCCCAACCTAGCTTGAATACTTGTATAATTTCTCTCCACGTATGTCTCTGCCTCTCTCAGAATGTAGCAAAATGAAAATTCAGCAGTGCTCAGGGAGCAGCACTCTATTTTGTGTTCTAAACTCGGTTCCTGGGCCAGTGTGCTCATAGGCTAGCCCTTGGTGCTACTTGGCTACTGATGCTCACGCTGTCAAATCAGTGCCTACTGTGCTAGTCCAGATAGCTGACAGCTTCCTAGATTTCCCCTTGTCTGTTTCTGCTTCCTCTTAAAGGGTAGGCACAAGTTGGAGAATGTTGTAAGACAACTGCGGCCGCCCTCACCACCAGCACGTTGGCTGTGCTTTTCTCTTACCCCCACTGTCCCACTGCAGCAGCAGTCTGAGGACTTGCTGATGCCTGCGAGACCCCGCTTGGTGGGCACATGGCTCAGATTAGCTGCTTAGTATTGTGAAATCACCCAACCAGACTAATGCATGTGGTTTTGTCTATCAGTCCGACTGGCGATGTCATACATTCACTGCTTTTTACGATTCCTTTGTTTTAGACAAAATTGCTAACAGAGATGATAAAGGCAGTATTTGTATTTTTCTGTTAGATTAAAAGATGAATAGAAGGGGCAGTAAAAGTGAAAGGGATTGGGCAAGGGAAAGAAAGAATACAAACCGTAATTAGAAGGGAAATTAATGTGAAGAGCTGATGAAAGGAATTGATAAGTAGAATTAGGGAAGAAAGGGTGTGTAAAAAACCAAAGTATAGAAATAGAATAACATTTAGTCTTTAATTTTTTAAATTGTTGCTTTTGTTGAGTATTTGACATTTCAATGATTATATAGCATATAATTTTGTATTGGTTAGCGCATTAAGTCCTGAAATAGGCCATCGAATAAAATGTTTTTACGGTGACTAGGTTAACTTTTCTTCATTTAACTCATGACTTAATTAGCCTATTTTTAAATTTCTAGCCTCACATTTTGTTCTGTGGTTTTCTCTTATTTAATACTGTGTCCATTTATTCATAGGTACTTATAATAAGTATAGTGTAGGGAGGTAAAGTTCTTAATTCCTGCCTTCAGGGCATTCACAGACTGGTAACCAGATCACTCCGGGGTGGTATGGTCGGGTTATTAGTAGAGCTGTGTATAGGTGTGATGATGATACAGAGGGGGACACTTGGTCAGACTTGGGGGTTTGGAGACATTTCCCGGGGGAAGTGATCTATTAGCTGAGTTCTGAAGGATGGGTAGGAGAACAAGAATAGAATTAGAATATACCTGGAGCAGAAAGGGAATTTACAAAGTATGGTGGTGAGAAAGCACGTGTTGTTTTCAAGAAACTGCAGGTGCTTAGATAGGCCTGGAGTTTGGGGTTCTGTGGGGTTGGTGATGAAGCATGAAGCCAGAGAGACAATTAAACACCAAGCCTGATATAGGATTATAAGAAGTTTTTATTTTATCTTGCAGGGAGTGGGGAAACCACTAGAGTATATAAACAGAGAAATCATATGGCCAAGTGTGAGTTTTAGAGACTAACAGCAAAAGGAAGGTAGTTGGGAAGAGGGCAAGGATATCACTTTGGAAGATACTGTAGTGATAAAGGTGAGAAATGGTGAGGGCCTGAATCAAAGGAGAAGAGGGGCCAGATTTATAAGAGATTAATGAGGTAAATATCCAAAAGGTGTGAAGGAAGATTAAATGTAGCTATACTTAGACGTAGGTAGAGAGGTACAGAGAGTAGTTGAATGTACCATTCTCAGGAGAGCAAGGAGATTTGCTGCAGAGGTTTGGGAGTCAGCAGCCTATGGGAGTAGTGGAAGTTTTGGGTGAAGTGAGACTTCCCCCTCCCCCGAGACAGTGACTGGAGCGGGGGTTAGGGAGCACTAGAGAGACCCTTGGAAGTTGCTGACATTAGGGAGAAAGTGGAAGAGTGATCAACACTGCAGAATAGAAGGAGTCGTCCAAGAAGTAGAAGAAGAAAAGCAATAAGCACTTCAAGGAGGACGAAGCTCATACCTAATGCTGTAAAGCAACACTATCCAGTAGAAAGGTCATTAAATATGAAATGCCTGATTTCAAATAAAAAGTTTAGTTTATTGTATCTCAAACAAGAAGCAGTACAACTAATCAAAGTGTGCATGTAAATTATCGACATAATTTTGCCATCTTAACGGTAGCTTGTTTATGCTAGCAGCAAAGAAGCCTGGAGAGTGAGTGGCGATGAAATCGCAAAAGGCGTTTTCCACAGCTTGTTGAGAATTGAATAGTTTTTCTTGCAAAAAGTGGTCCAAAGCCTAGAAGAAGTGGTAGTCAGTTGGTGCAAGGTCTGGTGAATACAGTGGATGACAGAGTTTCTAAGTCCAGCTTCTGTGGTTTGAGCAGCGTTGTTTGTGCAACACATGGTCAAGCGCTGTCTCTGTTGACCAGTCTCGGCTACTTAATCACAAGCATCCTCATCATTTTGTCCAGTTGGTGCAGCAGATCTGCTGTAATCGACTGACCAGATTTCATGAAGCTGTAGTGGATAATACCAGCGCTGGACCACCAAACAGACACCATTAGCTTTTTTTGATGACTGTTCGATTTTTGACTGTGTTTTGGCACTTCATCTTTATCCAACCATTATGCTGAACACTTGTGATTGTCAAAAAGAATCCATTTTTTATCACACATAACAATGCAGTTTAGAAATGATTTGCCTTTGTGTTGTGACGGCAAAGAAAGGCAAGCTTCGAGACGATTTCTCTTCTGATGCTCATTTAATTCATGCAGAACTCATATACTCAGGTTCTTCACCCTGCCAGTTTGTTTCAAATGGTCCGATATTGTTGGAATAGTAACGTCAAACCTTGCTGCTAATTCACGCGTACGTTGAGATGGATTCACTTCTACTACAGTTTTCAACTCATCATTATTCACCTTGGTTGCCCATGTGGCTCATTTTCAAGAATAAAATCACCAGAATGGAACTTCTCAAACCATCGATGTAGTGTGCGTTCATTAGCCACATCCTTCCCAAACACTGTGTTGATATTTTGAACTGTCTATGCTGCGTTGGTTCCACAACGGAACTCATATTTGAAAATAACACTAATTTTTGACTTACGCATGGTTTCACAAAAATAGCTGTAAAAAAAAATTTGAAAGATAATCACAAGCCAAAACGTGTGTTTGAAAGGCTGAGGATGTACCTTCACCATAAAAATAAATATCAAAGTGAAATGTCAGAGATATCAACTATTTAGTACTTAAGGAATTATTGGACATCATCCTTAATAACCTAAATACATGCTAAACAGATAATGGTACATTTTCCAGTAGCTGCTTTAAAAAATGTAAAAGGAAATAGGTAAAATTAATTTTAAGAAAATACTTTCTTTAACCCAATGTTTCCCAAATGCCATCATTTCAACATGTAATTTTTTAAATTTAAATTTAATTAAAATTTTAAAATTCAGTTCTTTCATTGCACTTAGCATGGAAGTGCTCAGTAGCCATATGTGGTGAGGAGTGGTCACATGCCGGACAGGGTCGGGCATCAAGCAGGAGGACTGAGAAGCACTCCTCAGAGGAAAGACCTTGGGGAGAATAGTTCTAATGAGGGGTGGGAGGAAATAGCCAGATTGCTCCAGACTGAGGAATGATGGGGAGGTGAGGAAGCAGGGATGGTATTAGTTCCTCTTTTGAGAAAGTTGGCAGTGAAGGAAGGACAGAGGAGGTGGAAGCCAGAGGGTTGGGTTGGCTGAAGTTGAGAAAGCCCTAAACGTGCTTTTCTCTGACAGAATGTGCTAGCAGGGAGCGATTTAAGGACATGGGAAATTGGGAAAACAATTTCTCTCCTCATTGTACTGGGCAAGCCTGAACTAAGTAATATGAACTGATAAAAAGATGTGTAGGAGCATATTAATTATTTAACTCTTAGCAATCTAAAGCTAATTGCATGTACCTATCACCAATCAGCACCTATGTAATCTTACTATGTTGGCCATAAATGCAGCAACACAGAAGATGGCTGTTGGTTTAGAAATCAACAATGTGTGTTTTGGGTATATTTTGTCTTTGAGGTAATGTTTTCTCCATAAAGTTTTAGAGTGACATGTTACATGTTAAAGATGTATAACTTGTCATCCAACATCCCTGTGAAAATTATACGTCATAATTTAATAATAATTGCTAATTCATTCAACAAACACTCATATCGTGCCTGTTATGTGCTAGGATATTCTAATTGTGGTAATAAAATCTTAGGGCATTCTGTGTTACTGGAGCATTTCAAATATGATTGAAATAGCTTGAATCAAAAACCAAGACTTTCGTGTATAAGTTATAAAATTCAGTAAAAATTCAAATTAATTAATAAATTTGAAAGTGTTAGAGTTGTATTTCTAGTACAGAAGAAACAAAAACTCTGTTTGATGCTTGGCATTTGTTAGCTTCTGTTATGTGGGAAGCATATTAATAAAATTTTTTGTAGTTTTACTGATAACTGCAATTGTGCCTTCACATAGCACTACCTCAATGCTATTCTTATAATTCAGACACTGTTTATAGTCACAGGACATTTTTTACATCTTTTGGGAGTGTTTGGTTGTTGAAAAACTTAGTTTTACTGGTGAATCCACTGAACAGATACTTTTTGATTACGTACTGTTTGCCAGGCATTATGACAGAG